TACGAGATTCTGTACTGTGAGTCCGCTGACACTGGCCAGATTTCTTTCTTCTATTGCCTCATTTGCAAATGGTGTGCATAGGGTTCCTGGCTCTGTGCTGAGCTAGTCCGACCTGATCCGATTTGGAAATCAGCAATCTCTAGCTTGTGATTTCTTTCCTGGTGCGCCCTATTTCCCTTCCGCTTTGACAATAGACACCAGGTTTTTATGCAAAAGTACCCAGCTCGGGTTTTGGCATGTCAGCGTCCAAACTCCGGCCATCAGCTGGTCCATCCAGAGAGACAAAAATAAGTGCAGAGACCTTTGGCCCCTCTGTCTTGGACCTCAGTGCTGGATTGTCTGGGAAATATATTGGCCAATGATAGTTCTTCAGGCCCTAAACATCCCTTCTGATTGTCTACCCCAGGGGACGCCGCCACCTGTAAGCAGATTACCAGTGCAGATACCGTGAGGAATGTGGAATGGGCTACCGCTACTTGTGTGTTGGGGTTTGGGGTGTTCGGTAAGTTCTGGAACGGGGAAGGCCCCACCGAGTACCTGGGAAGCAATCTTTATAACAGCTGCCTGCAGGCTGGGGGAACAGAATCCTTCACTGTTTGTATGGAAGGGCAGAGTGCAAAGACCACTAAAGCCCCTCAGAGCTGTAATGAAATGAGGCTCAGGGGCACCGGCTCCCAGGGCTCCACGCTGAAGCTCCTCCAGCCACCTGCTCCGTCAGGTGCCCAAGCCATTATCACTAGTGGCAGGAGCACCGTTGACCTGGCAGAGCTGGGGATAGAGCAGTGACAGCGGTGCTCCCAGCTCTGCTCTTCCGGAGCTCACAGTGCAGTGAGCAAGGCAGCCTCACTTGAGACGGTGTGACCCGGGACTATCGGGAACATTTAGGTGTCACTGGGAAAGGAGCATTGGGGCCAAGTCTTTGAAGAAGGTAGGGAGGGTCTCCTGGAAGTAGAGCCATTTGAGCTGAGACCTGGAGGGTCAAGGCACACCCCAGCCCCTCACTGGGGGATTCTAGGCAGGGGCTCTACCACTGAGCCACACCCCCAGCCCCTCACTGGGGGATTCTAGGCAGGGGCTCTACCACTGAGCCACACCCCCAGCCCCTCACTGGGGGATTCTAGGCAGGGGCTCTACCACTGAGCCACACCCCCAGCCCCTCACTGGGGGATTCTAGGCAGGGGCTCTACCACTGAGCCACACCCCCAGCCCCTCACTGGGGGATTCTAGGCAGGGGCTCTACCACTGAGCCACACCCCCAGCCCCTCACGGGGGGATTCTAGGCAGGGGTTCTACCCCTGAGCCACGCCCCTAGCCCCTCACTGGGGGGATTCTAGG